GAAACAATTTGGTCAATAATCGATTAATTGTTTAAGTTATTTATCAATGCAAAATGTTTCCTGGCTCCATCTCCTGCTCTCAAATGTGAAGGTTTTCTTTGTCTTATAATGACAAACATTAATATTATATATATATATATATATATATATATATATATATATACACATTTTGTAGTGATTGTTGGATAAGACAGATGAAGATGTCAATGACATCTTACAGACCAACTGATGAATCCATTAATTCAGAAAATAATCAGAAGATTAATCAGTAATGAAAAAAACTGCTTTTTACAAGATAATCCTCACATTTGATTATTTTATTGAAATCCCCTCATGTGACACTGTAACACATTGACATATTAAAAAACCTTTCCCTAAGAGGTTCCAAAGTCAAAACACATTGTTTCCACCTGAAACCCCTGTAAAGTGATCATGTCCAATTTGATGTTTTGTTGCTGTGAAGTTTCAAGTTGTATAATATAATAGTTGCCAATTCATTTCCTGTCACTTCTTTTTTAAATCAGTTTGAGCTTGGCAGAGGATTCTTACAGTTTCCTGGTCAGGGCACCTTCCTATTGTTGCACCAATATTAAAGAAAGGGGGGGGGGCAGGCAGCCAACCTTGAGATATAAATCCAATTATGAGAACAAGCCAACACAGCTTGTACAGCAAAGAATATTACGCAAGCTATCACTGACTGCCTGCGTGGAGCTCATTCGTTGTGTTTTCTTCCTGACAGGAGCAGGAAAGTTAATGACAATAAAGGATCATTGAAGCCGCAGTCGTGAGAGGGCTTCTTTTTTTATTTTGGAGGAGCGAGCACGAGTCACTCACAAGGGCGTTATTAAAGTCATGTGACACAAACAGAGTGAACTCACTTCAACGGGCTCATCAGCAGCACAGCTGGAATTTAGCATGAATAAAAAAAAAAAAACTGGGCACAAATCCTGCTCATACGGGCTCTGCGGGGGGGGGAAACACGATAGCCTCGGTCGGCTTCCACACGTTTAATTATTCATATCTTAAAAGAGGACGTTGTGGATTGAGGCTGACATCTTATACAGCGGGTCTGAAACAACAGCTCATCACTGGGCGGGTTGTAAAGTACACACACACACACACACACACACACACACACACACACACACACACACTTTCCCATTCAAAGTGTTTGCAACAATACTGCACGCAGTGTGGAGGTGATGGAGAACTTGGCTACACCTGCCTTGGTTGCAGAAGAAAACATGAAACTAAGTATCTTAACAGACCTTCAGATTTGTAATTATTTTTTTCCTCTCTTGGCCCATCCATCACACAAACAACAACCCTTCAGGAAGAATAAAATGTGTAAACAACAGTCATGTTACTCACATAGTGCTCGTAGAATTTAGAAAGCCTCGGTTTCCCATGGTTGTTGAATATTAAAATGGCTTTTATCATGGTTGTAGCTGAACGGAGGGAGGCGGGGGAACAGAAAGGGAGCAGTCTGTGAAAGACTGTTGTCAGTCAGCTCCCGTGAACCCAGATCTGACCGGGATTCAGGGCTAAATCCCGTCTCGGTGTAAGGTTAATACGGGATAGCTTCGAGCTACACGCTGCTACTCCTCCATCGTCTCTTTACGGAAATATTCCACGTCAAAGGACCAGTCATGCTCTCCTCCTCCTCCCACTACGGCAACCGCGATGGGACAAACTTCCGCGGTCTGTCGCCGGAAACCACACAGGAAGAAAAGTGATTTTTTTTTCTTCCTTCCCCTTAATTCCAGCTTCCTCCGAGTGATACTCGGATCATCTATGCAGTGAAGCAAGATCCACTATGTTGCTCAAGGACTTTAATGGATGTTACCCCACATGTAGCCCTATATCTATTTATATATTTATCTTGCACATTAGTTGCTCCTTTTTATTGTCTCTATTTTTACGTTTTTATCTTTATTTATATTTTTCTACGCTTGATTGTGATTCTCATGCAGCAATGTACAAAGGCAAATGATAAATAATATAAAAACTTACTTGCCAATAAACCTGATTCTGATTCTGTTTATCAATATATATCAACTTCTTGTGTTTTTACCAAGATTTTGTGTTTTTATTTATGTTTATGTTTTTTTATTTTCCTTCTTTCTGTTTTGTTAATCGGCGTTTACGAATATGGTTTATGCAACATCATTAATTTTGATTATTTGTCAAATGTTAAGTGGAAACTTGTTTTATCGACCTTTTTGACATCTGCAGTCACATATTAGATTTATGATCCTGGTCCCATTCTGTGGTGTTTATTATACCCGGAGTGGTTTTCAGAGAAAATCCAGAAATTCTAATGTTTTTTTATGCAGTTTGATGTATAAATCTATTCATACCCTATATGACACTATACTACTAATAATAATAAACAAGCTTTGAACAGGGGAATAATTAGATAAAAGTCTGCAAACACACAGTGGCTCTAGATATGTACTTAATAATACATTTAAATTAATAATAGTAAATCAAATTATTAAATACAATTAAGAAAACATTAAATGTTCTTCTTCTATGTCTGCCAGTAGAGTGGAAGTTTTTTTTTTTTTTTTTGTTTAGTTTTGTTACTGAGGTAGTTTAGAGACGCATACATAAATTAAGAAAAAAATCAATTTGGGAACACTTGTTGTTCTTGAATATTACCCTAAAAGACAGTCAATAGGGTTTTGTTGTTTTGTATGATGAGCAGATAAAAACAAATCTATATATTGAGAAAAAGGAACTAGTTTGATAAAAATTAACAACAGACCCAGCAGTTAAGACACAAGTGTAATATTGATTTTTATACACACATTTTAGATTTAAGGAGACATGGGGATTCCTGGATCTTGCAGAGATGAACTGTGATGCTGAGACTAATGATTAATTCATTCAGAAAATACAAAAGAAAATCTATCAGTACTTGAACATTGCTCGTGTTCCAGCCACACACGTCAACAAACTCGTTCAAATGTAATTTTCTATTAAGCCAGTTTATATCAATAACTGTGCCATAAGAGCATCAGGTTAATCATATCATTGTCCAGTGTATGTTTGAGCCACAAGGTGGAGCAAAAGTACATCTGGTATTGATGATGTGGCATCTCAGAGGAAAACTTGCCACCTCTGATGCAAAGAACATTCTCTACTTTTTAGGCTGCCAGTAAACACGAAAGCCTGACCTTCTCCTCAGCCAGAGAGGATTTTCCTTTGACATACTGACACATGTTGTAAGACTGAAAACAAATGCATGAGTTTTTCTGCTGGAATATCCCAGCACAGCTGTGGTTTGGAGCCTAACCCGTGACAACCAGTAGGCCTACAATTCAGACAGTTTTACCTCATCCATGTCTGGAAAATGTGAAGTGTCCTATTTCTACTCAAGCGGTGTTTTTTTGATTATTCCAATATTCCTGGCAAAGTGACCTTGATCAAGGCACTGCCCTCAGAGTTGCAAGTGAGGCATCTGCTGTGGTACTTGATGTGTTGTATTTCTGAGCCACCACTGGTCACACACATTGTACATTTTATCTGCACCTTATCTGACCCACAACAACCTGCACTACTGTATGTGCTTTCACTGACATGTTGTTTTTCTTCATAGTGAGTCTTCTTCCTTTCTTTAAGGCCAATGGGTGGGGTTCCCTGATATGAATGATCTATAACATGTCTGTGAAGGAATGTGTAGCATTTGTAAGGATGATTTATGATTAACTGCAAGCTGGACTGGAAGACATACAGCGCCAAGAACATCCTGTGAAGAGGATGTTGAGTGTGATATCAAAAACACCAACAGAAGCATCTCTCCTTGTGTCTGACTGTTCGTCTGTGTCTAATTTTAAGTCTATCTCAGACTCAGAAGTTAAATCCACACATGCACAAGCAAGTGGAAAGTCAAAACATTTACTCAATTTGCCTCCTGAGGTATAATTGAGGCTGAGATCTGAGGCTATACTTTGAGGATATTTGGATCTTGTGAAACTTTTCAGATGGAAACACTTTTAGAGCTAGAACTCCCTAATTCTCCTTTACTTTTGACATTTACATTTTACTAATATGTGCTCTCCCTTCTGCTTTTATTTTCTAATATATGACTTTGGTTGAATATTTTCCCATCAAATCTCAGGCTATATTACTTGAGTAGTTTTCCACCAGTAACTCACACCCACAATCATCATCGGATATCCATCTCTAGATTATCTTGGTTGGTTTGTAAGATAACTAAGTGAACCATTAAGTATCTGCAGTATTAATGAATCACTACCTCTTTCTTCTGCTCCACCCTTTACATATTTTAATAGTTAGCATTCCCATCGCTCTGAACATTTAACATAATCTAATACACTCTCATTAAAAGTATGGTTGACTACATAGTGCATCTATTCTCTTATGCACTGCAAAAGTCATGTCATAATCCTTTAATTTAATACAACTAAAACAAGGGTGATTAAAGGCCTAAAAATATTTTAACCTGAACAACAAGCTTGTGTTTCCCATAACATTCTTGATACCATTCAATCTTGTTCTCACGTTTTTTTCCCTTCCATCTCTCACTTGTTTGTGAGCTTGTGGTCGGCACACACCTCAGACAGTGTGTTGATGATATAAGTTAGTGAGGAGAGGGCCCACAGAACGAGGCTTGGACAGCTATTGTTGGAGAAACGCCTCAGTGAGAGAAAGAGAGAGGGAAAGGGGGAGGTTGTGTTTGTGGCAACGTGGTGGAATTGGACTCAGGGAGGATTAGTCCAAGTTCTTAATGTGTGAGATGAATGCATATTTGTGATCAAAACTTAAAAAACAAAATAAGAAATAAATATAATCTCTATGGATCAAGTGCGACCGGAGCGCAGCCAAGTGTTTTATTGCGATATTTCATAATGTGCTCATAAGGACATTTTATTTAAATGAGACTGTGTGCTGTGGGCGTTCACCTTCTCCCATAATGGTATAGTCCGACACCAGCTCGCCCCCAAAATTGCTGTGCTGGCCTATAAAAAGTGAACGACTGCACAAAGTTAGCGAGAGAAACCTGTTGGTTTTAAACTGAAGAGAATATATCTGAAAAAGAATCTCCAGCTCGACTCAGAGAGATGGATCAAACCGAGGTGGTGAAGCCAGCAACTCTGGATGAGCTGATAAAAATCCTGCATAAAATCTTCGAGAGTGACTGCATCAATGTTGAGGAGGTCCAAAATATAATGGAATCATATGAGAGCAACCCTCAGGAGTGGATGAAATATGCAAAGTCTGACCAGTACAGGTAAAAAAAACATTTTGTTTCATAATCCTATTTACAGCTACTAACTCATCAGATATTACAGATTTATTATGCTGATGCACTTTGCTCTCTTGTTCTAGCCTATAGCCTTGTCTGTCACCTTGGCTCAGTCTGTTTTTGTTTTGTTATATAGTCCGACTTTTATTTGTCCAATCATATGTTTAACTTTTGTCTATGTTGTGTCTGTATTTCATGTCTGCTGCTCTTATGTTTTTATTGCAAAAAGCTAGAAAGTTTGCTTAAAAAAGTGATGTGTTGTAGGATTTATGTTATTTAGCTTACCTATTGTGTGTATTTATAAAAAAAAAATAATCCATGCAATCAGTTATTAAAACTGCGTATGCTTTAAAAAACATCACTTTTGAATGAAAACCTGCGCTTGTTTCCATGACCAAGACCTCCTTTAGTCACGCCATATTTTAATAAAAGAAAAAAAAATCAGCTTATTTGCATAATTTTATATCAATGTAGAAAATTGAGCTACAAAAGCTCACAGAAAACAACTTCTTCAACATGTTTATCTCTGCAGTAAGGCCTCCCCACTACAAAATATGGCTGCTCTATTCAAGAGTTTTCTAAAGCGGTGTTTTGATTAGTGAGGCGGGGGGGGGGAGTGAGTGGGCCATCCAATCAACACTGAGTACGGATACACACCCGCTGATGTTTACGGGCATGGGTGCGTGTGGTGTGACTGTCCAGTTACCCCACCGGGGAGCTGCAGCTGCCTCGACAATATTTGAAGACTGACGGAAGCGCAAAAACGTGCCGAGTGGCGATATTTGCGCAGGTTGCCGGGCCCGTGACATGGAGGGGGGGGACTTTAAGTGCAGGTGGCAGATTATATTTCAGTATCTTTAACATGAAAGTTTCCCCCCCTCTCCCTTACATGTTTTTACACTTAAATTACAAGTGCGATAGGTTTAGTGCGTGGAAAATGTATTTAATCATATAAATGAAAATCAAGTTATCAAATTTTGACAAGACATTTAAATCAAATAATGCTCGAATAACAGCGACTGAACTTTTAGGTTGTCCTAAAATGGTTCTACATTATTTGGAATTAATTATTAAATGTGAAGCAGCAGCATGTCTCAACTTTACCAAAACATTTACACTGCATTTCCCCTTTGAAACCTTTTAGTCTTCAGTGTAACAGGAGCAATGGTTCATTATCTGTCTTGCTGTTCGTTGAACAAATTGTCCTGTTTTGCAGATACACAAGGAACTTGGTCGATGAGGGTAACGGGAAGTTCAATCTCATGATTCTGTGCTGGGGAGAAGGCCATGGCAGGTGAGATGCTCCCGCATGCAAACAAATAGGTTAATTAACATGAGAAGATGTAATATTTAGTGCAAAACACAATGTTATTTTCTAGTCTTTTGCTCATTTTCATTTCGTATCAACAAGGTCTCAAAGATTGCCATTGCAAATTTGTGGCGGATAAACCTGTTACACCTTATGTTAACAGCGTACCGCTCAGTAGATACTGTAGGTCACATAGTTGACTGATATTCTCTGGCAATTATTGTATAAAGTTAATAGAGATAGGAGAGTCCAATGTTCTACAGACAGACATTATTTGGCGATATCTATGCCCCACTATGTCAGCAAATGTCACCTAAACACCTGGAGTCTATAGAAATGGAGAAGATCCATTTCAGTTTACTGTGGTTAATATTTGCCGTATGATGTTTTAAAGGTCTTTATATGATTACATATTATTTGACTAACAGCTGTTAATTTGGCATAGCAATGTATCTTTGCCCCTGTGAAACATTTTCCAACCATTGCTGGGCATTAAAATGGCATGACATTATATTATGCACCAATCTAGTACCTGCCAGTCTGGAAGAACAGTTTACACTTTATAAAACAACAAGAAGAGATCCTGAGTGTCTAAAATGCCAAAAAAAAACTCTCTCACCTTTTGACTAAAACTCAGAAATGCTTTATAGGACAGATTTGTAATACTTGCTTTTGTTGCCTTTGGTTCAAGGCTCAAGAAAGAGGACATATTCTGACACTGTATGCTTGTGTGTTTCTTGCAATTTGCAGTAGCATCCACGACCACACAAACTCCCATTGTTTCATGAAGCTGCTGCAGGGACAGCTGAAGGAGACGCTGTTTGACTGGCCGGACGGTAAATCACAAGGAAACATGGTCCAGAAGTCGCAGAGAATTCTCCAGGAAAACAAGGTTGCTTACATAAATGGTGAGAAAGCAGACAGTGTGCTGATTGTTTTTTTTTCTTTTTTTTAAATTAGAGTTGGCCATTTACCCTTCTACAATATTAATACCACTTAGTTCTATAAATACTCATTGGTTTGTGTGTGTGTGGGGCAAGTTGTGAAACTGGTTCTTAATGTGGCAAAAATAATCATGCTTCAGTACAATAGAACAAACCAAGTTACCAAATCAGATATACTGATGTGACATATCTCAGACATGACAACCGTGTAATATGTGTGACATTTTTTACAATGCAGAGTACCACCAAAGTTTCCAACCTCTGCAGTTATTTATGTTAAATTGGTCTCAGAGAAGTTAACAGTCGGTTATAACTTGAACAGTACTCAGCTCTCTCCTCAAATCTCTGCTGACTGAGTATTTCCCCAAAGCCAAAAGAGCCCTGGTGTTATGTTTGGTCTCGGTTTTTGATTACAGCACTGCCTGTGTGCCTCATTTCACAGCATTCTGGTGGCACACACTGTCTTAATGCATGTTTTTTTGTTTGTGCGTGTGTATTTCAGACTCCATTGGCCTGCATCGTGTGGAAAATGGCAGCCACACAGAGGGTGCAGTCAGTTTGCATCTCTACAGTCCCCCGTTCCAAACGTGCCAGACCTTTGACCAGCGGACGGGGCACAGGAACACTGTCAAGATGACCTTCTGGAGCAAATACGGAGAGAGGACTCCATTTGTAAGGGACTTTTTTATGGCTTTAATAGATACATATTCAATGGTATTCAATTCAAATAGTCTTTGGGAGCCTAAAATATGGGAAAGTCAAATTCTGTAGGTGGGTGAGACTGTAGAACGATATGTGATATTATGACAAATTGCACAGTACAAAAAAACGTTTTAAATCATAACACTGCATTTGAAACACTAAACACAGCCTAAAGTAATGTCACTATAGTTGTTAGCTGATCAGAGAGACAAAGATACATTTCCTTAAACTTCTCTTGTTGAAGATACCTGATTCAATACATAAAGAAACTGTAGAAACCATAAAGAATGGTTTATATGAATGCATCACTGCATACATATGCATAAAAATGTCTATTATGAGAGTTCTAATTTTAGTCAAAAACACAAGTTCACACCGGTTAATGTCGTAATTATTCACACACAGGATTACTACAAACAGTTAATTGAACACACAGGCTTTCTAGTCCTGCTGCCTTATAGGCAGGAAGTGGGAGGTTTTTTTTAGTGTCTTGCTACTCTCATTAAGCACAGCCTACAAGCAATTAAAGCAGCACCCCTGAAAGTTTCCATTTGCTGCTGTTTAAACAAAAATGTTGCTTTAGCAGGCAAGAAATGTTCTTTTTTGAACATGTGAGAGCAGTATTTTATATGTGCAGGGAGAGAAGAATCAAGGCTTAGTTAAAAGTTAAATTAGCTTTTTAAATATAACATGTCTTCTGAAATTGTTGCACATAATGAAAGACAAATGAAAATTACACGAAAGGTAAAGATGTAAAAACAAGAGCAAACACCGTATAAGACATCTGCCAGTGGTGTTATCTGAAATCTGCACGTTGTATAAGTATACCTTGACCATACCACTTTCAAGTTACTGCATTAGATTGCAACACCAAACAGAGGAGATAAGATATCATAAGCACGTAAGAGTGAGTACACAACGAACTTAACTCAACATACGTCCCAGGGTCTCACAACAATTGGTGTCAGGTTGTTTTTTTGGACAGATGACCAGTTAGGAGCTATATTACATTTGAAAACTTAAATATCTAAATTAGGAACCCAGCTTTGAATAATCCTGGTTTAGCTTTGGGAACAATGTACTTAAAAGACTCTGTAATCGTGTGTCTGATAGCCTGGCCCCATGGTCTAATGTTTTGTTCTGTTATTCACTCTTTTCTTAGGAAACCACAGCTTCACAAGAGAACAACTAATGGCCACCAAAGGAGGCTCCAGATGATGAAGACAGTTGCATTTAAAATGACACTGTTGTGAAAATCATTCAAGGGGAACTGCTGGGGAAGCGAAACGTGGACCTACTATGACTAAGCACCCATTTAAAAATCAGGAGCGGGCCGGTTCAAAAGGACAACCCAGTAATTAGAATGGCTTTATCACTGCCCAGTGTGAGCTTGGCAAATACTGATGAGCACAGGACGAATGCATGAATAGGCTTGGACATGGATTGAATCTGCCTTTTGTTTGCTGGGCCTGAGGAGACCCTTTTCCAATAACAACATTCCTGTCTATCCATGACCTGTGTAACCACACTTTTGTAAAGTTATGGCCGATAGTCTAAATAATAGAGCTTTAGCATTTCAAAAAGGGTTAAAAAAAATTGCTCATATAGTGTTTCTCTTAAATTTTATATCTCAAGAAATGAAAAACAGTTCTGCAATCAACAGTTTTGTTATCAGTGGAGCACTTTTATAGCTGTATTTACTGTCGATTTATACCACTCAAAATTGTCTTAACACTTGCTGAAAATTGTGACGAAATGTAACATTGTTTGTATAATCTAATCAAAAAAATGTTCCATTTGCATTTGGAAAAAGAAATGTACAGCTTTAGAGTTGTGTTGTTTTTAAAAGTGTGATGGTTGTAATTTATTTGCAGGTTATTCTGTTCACCCAGGGAGTGTTTGAATTAGAAAGCGACGTGTTACTCCTAAATGTATTCATGCTAAAGTTTTTGACCAAGAGCGTCTTGTGGACAGATTATTTTGTATTATTAGCAGACAATTATGTTTAGATGAAACTCGTACTTTTTCTCAGGATTCTGGCATATTTTAATTGTAGCTGTATTTATATAATGTGTAGTTTTTACAGCATAGCACCTCTCATAGCACTGTCAAAAGCATGCATGATTTCTGTGATGCAGTAAATTATGAATCTGGCCATAACTGTAAAACAATTAAACACAACTATCCTTTCGCAGAACTTTATTTTGTGTTGTCTTCATTTTCATGTTGTGTATTTTTGTAATTACTCAGCAAAATCCATAATTCATACTGAATGTAACGTAAACATAAAATGCATATAGCTTGATTGGTAGACCTGTGCAAAAGCTTCAGTGTGAAACACCGAAATAACAACTGATACATGTGTCTTATGGTGTGGGAGGCTGGGTGTAAACACTTCAGATTGGTTCGCTTCAGTACCTCTTATTAATATTTAATCAATGTTGGCTAATAACCCCTAATGATTCATCGATAGTCACATAAAAGTACATTGCAGTGATTACAGAAATGCAGCAATTTATCAACAGATAAGCCCTGTCTGGCTTCAGCCTGGCAAGCAAACTAATGTGTGTCTCCATCTGTACTTTGGTTTGAGGAAAATATTGATAGGCAATTACCTTGACCACTAAATAGATTATGTTAATGGTGCCCTGATAGGAGTATTAAAGTTCGAGATATCTCATTTACGTCTGTGCCCAACTAACATCTCCTTGGCAAGCAAACAAGTGTGTTAACTGTGTCACAGTGTCTGTATTAGTGAATACATTGGAAAGATAAGGCAATATGGAAGACTGCCAAACGAGCAAAGCTCAATGTTCCTGTACAATTAACACATAATGGTTACAGCTACATTGACTATACATATTTATAATTACTATTCGTAGAAATAATATATATGGAGTATTGATACACGGTGTCAGCACAGTTCTAGCTAGACTGTTCCAAACTCAGTCACTGACCAGATAAGAGCGCGTTTGGGCTAAAATGCACATTAATCTGTTACTTAGTATTGTACGATCTGTAGGATCAGTGGCATCTGGCAGTGAAGTTGTAGATGGCGACCATTTGAATACAGCTCAGTCATCCTCACGAAAAACGCAAAAGGCCATATCTAGAATCAGCGTTTGGTTTGTCCGATCTGGGCTACTATAGAAACATGGAGGTTCAACATGGCGGCCTCTATAGAAGAAGACCTGGTCCCTCTGTAGATTAAAATGGCTCATTGGGACGTAACAAAAACACAGCAATTACTACTTTACTTACTTTTGTTGATATAAAAATACACTGTAATGAGTCTGTATATGCAAAAGTATGTGGACAGTAAAGTCAGTAAAAGTGGTTGCTCATCAGATCTCCTTGATCTTTGTTTTAGGAATAAAAATTATAGAAAGAGTCTGCAGTGAGCCAGGGAAATTAATCAGTTCAGCTACAATTAGACAATAGTAATATCTACTCATCTAAAATGAATTACACAGGCATTTGTGTGGCATTTGTGTTTAAAATGCAAATTCTCTACTACAGTGGATTTCACTGCTAAGACAGTTTCTCTAAGTTCCAGCCTCTTCTTCACTCACGACAAAAGCACGTTTGTTTGTCATACAAAAAACATGCGTCATTGGTCACTTTCCATCATTATTTGCCTTTGCCAAAAGCACACAATGTAAGTTTGCTAAATCTCCCCAGGTTTTCTCTGTACCAGGTCAACCATGGATGGCCTCCAGCCAGTGTTATGTAATGATGCAACAGCCTTGTTTGACCCCACAATGCACCTGTTTTATAAGAGGACATGATTGCCATGTGCCAGGCCAGATGGAGGCTCATCCAGTGGACCTTTATCTTAAACTAATGATAAATTCTGATTATTTGACTATTCAAGTGAGTGATCCTGGGGCAGCCTATGAGATGATTCATTCTTCAATAAAACAACAATCCGGTATCAGAACATTGCTGGTAGTTGATTAATAAACAGGAATAACACAGATGAGGACGTTGAGCTTTTAGACCTTTCTCTCAGTCCTAGATTATAGTTGACACACTGGCGACAATTTTAGGAAACTCGTTATTCGTACATGTTTTAGTGGTGATGATTGTGATTGGTGCCTCAAAATTGCTACCCTTTTGTTGCATTTAACTACTTACTTTAATGACCAGTGGTCATCCATGACTATACCATGGCGCAGGTGCACTCCTGCAGTAACCTGGGCATCAAAATCATGGATTACAAATTGGTGTGGAAGGTCCATGTGGAGGATGTCTGCTCCAGGTTGCAGCACTTCATGAGAATGCTCAGAACCTTTAGTGTGAGCCAGGAAGTGCAGCTTCTGTCACTCACCCGACTTATACAGACAGCCATTCAACAGCCCAGTACCTGGGCTATTTTTCAACAAATCACACAACTCATGTTCTCCACCCTGAGTATCGGCTCTTCTTCTCAGGCAGACTGTACAGGATCCCTCTGAGCAGGCACCAAACATTCTGTTGTCCGCCTGTCCGTTAAAAGCCTTAACACCAGCTAGATGGAATCTGTGTGTATGTTGTAGCTATCCTTGTTGTTGATCACTGTTACTGTACAATGTGTACACTTTCTCTGATGGAGATGGGCATGTGCAACTGATGGATGGATGTACCTGACCTGCAAGATTATTGCATTTGTTGTTTCATATCAATTTTAACTAAATTTTTAAATTTTATTGAATTTGGCACAAAATTGGACTTTTGAGAAGTGCAGGTTACGGGCCTTCATTTGTTGTATGAAGCTGTGAACAACAAAGATGATGATATAAAATTTATAGAAAAGCTGTTTACATTTCTTTGTTAAGTATGATATTAGAAATGGAAAGATTTTTTAGACTATTACACTTTCTTGTAATACTTGGACGCTGAAGTGGACTCGAGATGACAATACCAGCAGTGGCCCCAACCAATTTGAGTTTGAGACACTGTGACGTCCAAGGCAAATTTCCCACTGGGACAATAAAGTCTAATCCTACTTTAGTTAGTGGAATAGTAAAAGACAGCTATTGTTTCTTAACTGGGGGCCATTAGAGTTAGCTTTAAAGCACTTTAGCATACGTGTGCAGAATAACACATATGCTGCAAAATGATTGATTGTCTTTACAAAACCTGTCGTCTTTTATGTTTTCAGTGTTATATATGGTCTGTTTTCATGTGAATGACCTTTTCCTTTTAATTATTTTCTGTTTTTCATGCACTGATCATTTAGTGCCATTGGAACACTGTAGGCTAATATAACTCCCCTGTATATTTTACATCACAAGTTGCATTTTATTTTTATTTTTCATGTGGTGCTTCCTTCATTTTATTTGACATGTCTTTGTTGTTCATAAGGAGTTTGAATGCACTTACTGTAAGTCACAAAATTATGTAATTTTCTCAGTGTAGATGTTGACCTTTTGATCCCTGAAATATTTGGAAGCGTGTCAGTTTTCATGTGGTGTTTCCTTTGTTGCACCAGCTCCGTCACACTGTCTCCAATTGTTTTTTTTACCCTATTCAATACGCTTTCTTCACCACTAACACACTGTTTTCTGTTAGCGCTGCTGCAGTAGTGTCCATATCTGTGGAGCAGTTATAATTATGGTAGAGATCATAAAACATGACAGCAATTTTCACACAGTTTTCATAACCCATTGCTTTGTTCTGGCAATGCTGAGACTGAAAGTGCAAAGTAGAGTCTGGGAATGTGTCATATGATGATAACAATACGCCAGTGTTGTAGAATCTTCTATGACACCGAAAGAAGCAGAGGAGCTTTGATAATTTACTTATCGAAGTGGCCTCAGTACATTGATAGTGAAACCCTCATTCGTACAGGAAATAGCATGCTGTACTATGATCATTGTGTGGCATGACAGACCATTGTTTTATTACATGAGTGATAATTTTGCACATTCAGTTATTCATCCACAGTTGATTGATAACTATACACTCACATACTGCACTGATCATTTAGCTCCGTAAGTTTGAGTCATTCATCACTCACACGGAAGTAGAGAAACTGAAAAGAGGAACTCCTACTTGGTATGTAACCTGGGCAACATGTTCTTCCAAATTGCAAGAGCATTAAGAGCACCACACCCGAATAACTAGTAACCAGCGAGATCTTTCCATGAAGCTGCCTGGGATGGGCTCCTTTACCACAACTCCCAACATTTATTTCACTTTCACTTTGACTTTATGTCTTTCCTCGTTCCTATTTGTTGCTGATAAATGCTAAAACATTGTGTAACAGTAAGACAAGTTGAGAAGAATCATCAAAACAAACTAACTTAAATAGCAATGTCCATTATACAGCAATTATATCTATCGAAAGTTTGCAAGCATTAGCTATAAGATAATGGTCATCCACCGATAGGCAATCTGCGGCTCCACAGACACGTGGCACTTTAGCCCCTCTCCAGTGGCTTCCTGTGGCTTTGAAAAAAAACAAACCCTGACCCCTGCACCAAACCAGGCAATGCCGTAGTAGTAATAGTGAATGGAGCAACAGTGTGTTTGATTATGAATTCAATGTTTCATTTGTAAGTGGCCGAAAGTGCTATTTTTTCCCCCAAAAGTTACCCAGTGACCCACGTTGCTATAGCAACTGTGTATCAACTGTGAAACCGTTTTATATCATGACCTGTCACAGATGGCTGTCACACATTGTCCCTGGACAACACAGTATATCAAGTGCACATACAAAAGCTAAGAAACTGTTCCCGCTTCTTAAGTAATTCTTGTTCTTTCCTGTTTCACTTTACTTTCCACAGCACGTTACTGGCATTTGTACATAAACTACACATAAACTGAAGCGAATCAAAAGAAAGTGACAAATGGAAGCATTTACACCGAAAACTATCTTTGTACAACAAATAAATAAGATCTCTACATCGGTCTCTAAAGTATTGCTCAAAACAGGTGGAAAAAGTACCACAAGACATCTGGGAGTACCACAGATTAGGTAACACTGAGAAATGGAACTCTCTATGCACTCCTTGTCACCGCTGCAAAAAGAGCTGCACTTTTGGCTTTTACTGGTGTTTGGTGCTCACTTGTAACAGAAAACACGCATACGCCCACAGAACACTCTGTCCTACTCTAACCCACAAAAATCATACTCTGGTCTCACTGCTTTGTCTCTCAGGACACAGCACCAACCATAAGAGACTGTAAACAACTCAAATGTAGTTAACAGAT